TCTATCTATCTATCTATCTATCTATCTATCTATCTATCTATCTATCTATCTATCTATCTATCTATCATCTATATGTGTCTGTGTGTACACCTTTGTTACTTTTAGGTCTGTAACACAGGGGTGTCCAACCTTGGTAACTCCCAGAATTTCTCAGACAGATGGATAGACAGATAATCAGAGTTGGAAGGGACCTTGTAGGTCATCTAGTCCAACCTCCCACCCAAGCAGGAGACTCTACATCATTTCTGACAAATGGCAGTCCAATCTCTTCTTGAAAGTCTCAAATGATGATGCTCCAACCATGCTGGCTGAGGAATTCTGGGACTTGATGTCCACAAGTCATAAACTTGTCAAAACTTGGACACCTCTGCTGTAAGTATACATACATACATAGATGGGTTTACACATATACACATTCAGGCACATCTCTATACATACACACCTGGGGTCGAAGAAGTCACTTACCTTATAGTTCAACCTGAACAATGGTTGTTGGTGTTTGTTTTTTTCTAGGGCAAAAATGCAATGGCTGCCAGAAATTTATTGCTTTGAGAAAAAAAAATATTGGTAGTTTGTTCAGGGACAATATCTACAAGCGAGTCAACTATGTTCAGGATGTTCCTTCACCATCCTGAGCACCACAGCTGGAGCATGGCACCCAAAGAGTTAAGATAGCAGTTGCCTCCATGCAATCCAAGCCCAGCTCCTTGGAGATATAGATGTTAATCCTCCAGAATAGCGGGATTTTCTTTTCCTCTCCTGAAAACTTCTCTCTGTCTCCCGCGGGAGCGTTTTTTTTGCCGATTGGTTGGGAAATTTGTAATGGCTGCCCTACTTTCAGCCTACCTCCTCGGCTGCTATTTGGAAGGATGAGAACTCGCTTTTTCCCGCTAGCCGGGAAAAAAGAAGAAAGAACTCCGGGCAACAGCTCTTTTAAAGAGGATCCTCAACCACAGTGTTTGTTGGAATGTCGGGAAGGAACACAAAAGGGGAGATCTTGAAACCGCAACTAATTTCCCCCCAGACTGTTATCAAGGCACGGAGTTCTGCGCACACTTTCAAAATACTTTCACTGAAGGCGTAATTCGGCCTTCAAGTCCAACCTCTCTCCGCTTTTCATTAAAGCTTGGTTTCCTTCAATTTGGCTTCCCCTTTTGGGGTTCTGCAGAGCTTCAGGAAAAGTTAAGTCTGCTTTCAAAAGAATGTCCTCATTTAACATTAAGACACACACCCTTTCAAAGCAGGGGCACTTTTGCTTGGAAACCTGGAACAGAAGAGGTGGTTTTCATTGTCACATTTCCTCCTGGGCTCAAATGTATGTACAGGCAGTCCTCGAATTACGACTGCAATTGGGCCCCAAGTTTCTGTCTCTAAGCAAGCCCAAGGGACAACCTCTCTTGCCACAGTGGTTAAGCCAGGGGTGTTGATCTCAATTCCATTGAGAGACACATCAGACCTCCAGGGGCTGTAGTGGTTGTAGTCAGCTTGACGTCCCTCATGTTGGGGGCGCCTGTGGTAGCCCGAGCACTCTGCCAGTGAAAATGGGCTCCCAAGATCTGTTTTTGGCTGTGGCTGCCTCCTGCAACCCTCTGCCATAGAAAACAGAGCTCGGGAGGGCCACACGCAGCCCTCTTGAGCTACATTTTTGCTGGAAGAGGCACTGCGGGCCTGTCCTTTGCTGTTTCCAGGGTGGTGTTGTGGTTCGCCGGCAGCCTGTGCAAACGGCAGTGGAATAAGACACTGGGGAAGAACAGGAACCAGTCTGGGAGTCTGGAGAGGACTCGGATGAGGGTCCTGCATCCAATACAGAGATGGGGCCAGGAGCATCTAGGAGTTGTGTGCTGACTCTGGAGTCTCCAGAATCTGGCAGCAGCGAGGCAGAGGAACAGGGGGAGCCTGTTCCCAGTGTGCGTGTTTGCAGAGCTGCTAGAAGGCAAGAGCAGCTGAGACAAAAGGGGAGACTCAGGAGTAAGGCTTGGAGGTGATTGCCCCTCCCATAAGGTATAAAGGAAGTGCAAAGGTAAGGAAATCTTTGCAGGAAGCAACGTCATTTGCTCTGATTGGTTTGGACTCTAAAAGCTCCATGGTGAATTTGTTCTCCATTTGACTTTGGAAAGACTAATTGGGACTTTAGTCATTGGCAGCACTTCAAGTAAGATAAGGTGCCTTCTTATCAGACATCTCTAAGCACCCCATGGGCTGGATCCGGCCCTCAGAGCCTTAAATCTGACATCCCTGTGTTAAGGGAATCACTGCAGTCATTAAGATAGTAATCCAGTTACAAAATGAACCTGGCTTCCCCATTGTCAGAAGGTTGCAAAAGGGGATCAAATGACCCTGGGAACTCTCCCATCATCATAAGTACGAGCCAGTTGTCAAATTTTGATCCCACGGGCATGCTGTAATGGTTGTAAGTGTGAAAAACAATCCTACGTCACTTTTCCCAGTGCCGTTGTAACTCTGAACAGCGGTGAAATGAACTGTTGCACGTCGAAGGCTACATGTATTGGATGTAGAACTGCTTAAGTTTATGACCAAGGCAGTGACCTGATGAACCCAATAGATGGTTGAACACATTGGGGTACCATGCAAAGGAAATTCATTTACTGTCAACCTTGGGAGCCATATTTTACTTGGACGCTTTGAGGCTGCCACGTCCAATGCCTGGGAATTTGGGAGGGGACGTTTCATAGAGAGAAAGAAAATTAGACTCAACAACATTCTTTCTCAGAGAGTCAAGGACATGTTGCCCTGCCCCTGGAGGGAAGTCTGGAGGAAGATCTCCAATTGGGATGAAGATTTGATTGGACCATGTGATGGATTGTTGGGTGCAGGGGAGGGATCTTTGATTTCTCTTTTGGGAAGGGAAGACCCGGAACTTTCAGATTCAGGTTTTCCCAGATGTGCCAACATGACTTCTTGAATAAATTCTTACTTGGGTGAACTTCTGAGTGCTGAATTAGAATGGGAAGTTTCATTGGAGTGCTGACATTTACCTGATTATAATTTCTTTGTATTAACACATTTGTATTTTATCCTTTTCATTGCTCCAATCTATCTTAGATTAGATTAGTCGTAGCCCTTAATTTACTATTTGTTTAGGGAAGTTACCAATGGCACGGAAAAGAGTGGATTCATGACGGCTTTTCACCCATAGGACCATGGCAGCATCCCCGTGGTCACATGATCAAAACATGGACAATTGGCACACATTCATGATGATGGCCATGTCACGTGATCATGGTTTGCAAACTTCTGAGAATCAAAGTCAATGGGGAAGACGTATTCGGTTAACAACCAGGTTGCTAGCTTAACAACCACTTAACGACGGTGGCAAGGAGAGGTTGTAAAATGGGGACAAAAAACTCACTTAACACTAACTGTTGTGATTAGCAATGGGCTCAACTGGGGTCATAAGTGAAGGACGACCTATATTTTATCATATTGAGAAGGTCACAAGAGGAATCAATTGGCCAATTGTTACTCGATAGGCTGGTCTCATGAACAGCAGAGAGAAGCTGGGCTTTTTGTAAAGACCAAAGCTATGTTTTCAAAGGATTTTCAGAGTGTGCCCAGCCCTCCTCCCCATGGCTTAAAGCTTTGAATTCTTAAAATGCTTCCTATCCTTCCTATCTCTGCTAACGTTACATCCATTAAGTACGCCATTGCCCTATATTTTACTTCGGTAACTAAGCTCTTCAAAATGCAATACAATGGGATATGTATTTTGAAGTCGTAAGTTACGGTATAATCATTACTTTTAAAATATTAGATAGATAGATAGATAGATAGATAGATAGATAGATAGATAGATAG